AGTGCCCCCATCCCCCAACCCACGTCTTGCTGCCCCCCGCTTCTGCCACCATAGAGCCCCCAACCCACTACTGCTCTCCATCCCCCACCCCTCATCCTGGTGCCCCCCCACTATGGTGCTCCCCATCCCCCACCCAGTACTCCCCCCATCTTGGTGCTCCCCCAACTCCCCATCCTGGGCCCCTGAGCTCCCATCCCCCCACCACACCCCACACCCATTCCCAGCCTGGCGTCAGCGCCCCCAGCCTGACGCCTCCCCCTGCTCCCTGTCCCCAGACGGCCATGGAGGTGGTGGGGCTCTCCGGGGAGGAGCAGGCCCTGGTGCTGCAGATTGTGGCTGGGATCCTTCACCTAGGCAACATCAGCTTCCGGGAGGAGGGCAACTACGCCGCCGTGGAGAGCGAGGACTGTGAGTGGGGGGGCCAGAGGGCACTGGGGTGGGGGGCCCTGTCAGGGTCTGGCTCAGAGTGGATCTGGAGTGGGGGGGTCTGTCAGGCCTGGCTCTGGGGTGGGGATGGGTGTAGGGGGGTCCCCATCAGGGCCTGCCGTGGGGCCTGGGGGGATGTTGCAGCCTGGCTCGGGGCCTGGGGGTGCCCCCTTTGGGGCCTGGCTTGGGGTTGGGGCGGCCCTGTCAGGGTCTGGCTCAGAGTGGATCTGGAATCATAGAATCGTAGAATATCAGGGTTGGAAGGGACCTCAGTGGGGGGGTCTGTCGGGCACCTGATGTGGGGGTGGGGCCTGACTTGTGTGCCCCAGGGATCTGCCTCCATCCTTTGGGGGGCCCCACCTTCTCCTGTTTCCTTCCCTCCTCCCATCCTCTCCCTCTGGGGAGGAGGGTCCCGTGGGGATGGGGCTCCACCGGCCCCTCTGGATGTGCAGGGGCCAAGGAGGCCGATACCCCACCCACCTTGGAGGCAGGCGGGAGGGAGAGGGGAGGCGAATCCAGCAGCCGGGGTTGGGGCGAAGGGGCGGGAGCCCTGCTGAGAGGCAGACAGGGTTGGGGTGCTGTCCCTGACACCCTCCCCACTTACCCTCGCCTTCCCCAGTCCTGGCTTTCCCCTCCTACCTCCTGGGCATCGACCAGGGCCGGCTGAAGGAGAAGCTGACCAGCCGCAAGATGGACAGCCGGTGGGGCGGCAAGTCGGAGGTGATCGACGTGACGCTCAACGCCGAGCAGGCCAGCTTCACCCGTGACGCCCTCGCCAAGGCGCTCTACTCACGGCTCTTCGACTACCTGGTGGACGTGAGTCACCCGGCCCGTGGGCCCCAGCCCTGGCACACCCAGCGAACCCTCTACACCCGGTGTCGAGCTGCCCAGCTCAGCCGCCGGGCCCCACCTGCTCTCTCTCTGGGGACTTGGTGTCTGATCCCCCTTCACCCCACTTCATCCCGCACACCAGTGACCCTTCCAGGTCTCTGTCATCCCCCCACACACGGGGGCTGGAGTTTTGGCCTGTAATTTCCCAGGCAAGCCCCTGAATTCCCCACCCCACCCTTTCTCTGCTCTGCCCCCAGGCCGTCAACAAAGCGATGCAGAAGGACTACGAGGAATATAATGTCGGGGTGCTGGACATCTACGGCTTCGAGATCTTCCAGGTACCACAGGGCAGGGGCGTGAGAGAGACCATCCTGGGCTTTCAGGTTCCTAGGTCCCCTCCTGGTTCCCCAGCTTTTGGGGGCTCGGGCCAGCAGAAGAGGAGAAGCATGTTGAGAAGATCTGGGATCCCCCCTCCACCAACCATTTGCAACCCCCTTCTCCCCCAGGGGCTGGGGGCCATGGGGGGGCGACAGACAGCACGTGAGCTCGGTGCCAAGGATGCCCCATTGCCGCCCTCGGCCCATCTCAGCTCTCTGTGACACCCCCTTCCGCTGCTCTGAGCCAGCCAGAGCCCCCTTTGGTCGTGCTCTGCCTCCCACGGGTGGGGGACCCTCCATGCCGCACGGCCCTGCCCAGCGTGGCCCCTGGGTGCCTGATGGGTCTGTCTGTCTCTCCCCCCGCCTCCCCACCCCGCAGAAAAACGGCTTTGAGCAATTCTGCATCAATTTTGTGAACGAGAAGCTGCAGCAGATTTTCATCGAGCTCACGCTGAAGGCAGAGCAGGTGAGGGGCAGGGGGTGAGGTGGGAAAAGGGAAGGGGCAAGAGGAGGGGCAGGGGCAGGCGGTGAGGTGGGAGTGGGGGCAGATGAGGGACAGGGGTTGGGTAAGGGGAGGGATGGGGTGGGGGAGGAGTAGGCGGTGGGGTGGGGGAGGAGCTGGGGTGGGGTGGGAATGGGTGGGGGAGGTCAGTCAATGGGGTTGCGAGGCAGCGTGGCCCAGTGGACGAGGCACTGGGCTGGGGCCCAGGACCCTGGGGGCTGTTCCCAGGTCTGCCATTGACCCTGAGGCAAGATCCTTCCCCCATTTGTGCCTCAGTTTCCCTTGCCGCCTGTTGCCTACTGGGCCCTTCGGTGTTTGTACAGCGCCTGGCACAGCGCAGCCCCCGGCCCTGTTGGAGTCTCTGTGGGCTGTGCAGTCTAAGCACTCGTGTCTGCCTCTGGTGGCCGGCACCTGCAACTACCAGCACCTGCGACTGACTTGCAGCTGGGGGTGCCCCCCCCCCAGAGTTCGGACATGGGCAGAGCCCAACCCCTGCTCTCCCACAAGATGTGGGGCTGCCCCCATCCCAGCCCCCACTCACAACCCGCCCCCCCCCCAGGAGGAGTACGTCCAGGAAGGGATTCGGTGGAGCCCCATCGATTATTTCAACAACAAAATCGTCTGCGACCTGATCGAGAGCAAAGTGGTGAGCGAGCGGCCGGGCTCCCCCCTTCCAAATACCTCAGGCCTCGGGGGAAGACAACCTGTGTGACCCCTCCCCCAAGCCTGGGACCCCTGCCGCCTTGAGTCTCTGAGCCCCGCGGAACCTGGATCCCCCTAACTGCCCCCCTCCCGCATCCTTCTGAGGTGGGGGGGGCTCTGCCCCCCAATCTCCCCTTTAATCGGGGTCTCCCTTGTGACCTGGGGTCTCCCTGGCGACCTCTCCTAGTCCCCTTCTTAATCAGGGTCTCCCAGCAATGTGGGGGACCCCCCCAGCTGCCCCTTAATTGGGATCTCCCCAGAGCCAAGGGTACCCCCAGTTCCTCTCCCTTAATCGGGGTCTGTTCAGTGCTGTGGGGGAACCCCAAACCCTGCCTCATTGCAGCGCCAGAGCTGCCCAGGAGGGGGCGCTGGCTCTCCTGCTGGCCAGCGCTGGGAGCAGAGGGGCTGGGGAGTGGCGCCCCCTCCTGGCTGAGCAGTCTGGTGTCTCTCCCACCCCAGAACCCGCCGGGGCTCATGAGCATCCTGGATGACGTGTGCGCCACCATGCACGCCAAGGGTGAGGGCGCCGACCAGAGCCTCCTGCAGAAGCTGCAAATGGCCGTGGGCACCCACGAGCACTTCAACAGCTGGAACAAGGGCTTCATCATCCACCACTACGCTGGCAAGGTCAGCGCCGGGTGTGTGCCCTGGGGTGGGCTATGGGGCGGGGCTGGGTAAAGGTGGCGTGAGGGGGCGTGGGGAAGGGATACATTAGGGTAGAGGGGAAAAGGAAGGG